CATAAAAAAAGAATAACAGATGTTGTGCCATCTACTACTTTACTGAGCTCTGATCATTTTAGATCAAGAGATGAAAATTGTGGATTTCAGTTAAATTGAAACATAGAACAGTTTTCAAAGTTCTGAAGTGAAAAATATGTGTAGATATATTGATGCTTTTGCTAATTGGAGAGACCTTGGAGAGACTAGCTGGAATGGCAGTTTTCAAGAGCAAAGAAGGCTTTTTTTGGTTGTGCCAATTGAGAAAAAAAAATAAGAATTGTATAGTTCCTTTCTTTAAAATGGCTATTGTAGTAGTTCTTATGTGAGAGAGTACCCTAGTCTTTTACACAAACTAATATTAAAGGAAGTATTGTGTTACTGAATGAACTGTTTGCAAAAAAATGCAGTCTTTACGCATGCTAAACTTCTGTTTCTGGCACAAAAATCACTTTCTTTATATTAGTGTCAAAGATGGACAAGTGCTTGACCTTACTGTATTCGATAAATAAAAGTTACTATAAGAAAATATCACTAGAAACTGTTGGAATGCTAATGAAAAGGTTTCTGTATTTATGGAAAAATAAATGAATTAGCTACCACATTGTGAGAGCCTTCCAGTTTGGTGTACCTTGAGTTGCTCGTAGGACAAAGCTGAAAAAACTGTGCAAGGATTTTAAAAACTGTGTAAGGATTTTTTTTTTCTTTTTGCATTTTCCAGAGGTTTTTCCCCTGACAGATACTGTGCACTGCAACGATTGTGGTAGGGCCTGGACTAACTTGCGGCTCCAAGGGAGATGAAGGAAATGAGATTGTACCACAGCTAGCTGTTAGGTATCTGATAACTTTTTCACTTAGGCGTGGTGTGTTTCCACACATTGACTTCTTAGAACATAACATGAAAACATGCAGAGCAACATTTAAATGTGTCAGTGGTGATAAATTTATGCTACAGTTGATACCTGAAAACAAGAGATACATTTAAAATACTTAATGGCTTAGAAATGTAAAATGTACAGAACCTACCTTTTTTTAAAAAAAAAAAGTTTATAAACCCATAATGCCATATAAACCCAATTATAAACCAAAGCTTGTTTTTTAAACAAGCTTAAAGCTGCTGATTTTCTGAATAGGTTCTTTTAAGGTGAATTTCTCTAGGCTTTAATTCGGACAAATACCCTCTAAGTGCAGTCTTAGAGTGGAGTCTTCCATGAATGAGATCTGTGGAATCATGTGCACAGATGGTTGGTTGTGTCCTGCAGGACTGTTTGTACCAGCTATTTGTTAATGCTGTTCAAATTTCATTATTTCTTTCCATTTTTCTCTGAAAAGTACTTAGGCTCTGTCAGTAAGTATAGAATAAATTAGCAGGAATTCACTGGAAGAACACTCTCTTGTGTTTGTGTGTGTTGAAGAGCAGAACATCAACACACTATGCTTGCAGTGCATCTGCCAAACCTACTAAAAGAAAGTCAGTTTCTTCTGTGAAACATGAATCAAAATATGCTGGTGAATAAGGTGAAAGTTTAGCAGTTACTGCCACTTCCAGATTTAATATTTAGAACTATCTGACAACCTGAAATATCTACCCAATGAAATGGGCTTTTTTTTTTTTTTTTTTTTTTTTCAGTAGTCTGTTCCCTTGATTTCTTAGTAGGAAAGCTGAAGAGTCACACTGCAAGCAAACCTATTTAGTGCCCAGTGGCAGAGAAGGTGACTGTAATCAGTCCGTTTAAATGACCTTGCCGGTGCGTTGTGCTTTGGCAGCAAATAGTTAAACTGGGCCAAAAGTTTGCCTGTCGCAGACCTGCCTAAGGTCCTGCTTTGGAGACGAGATTTTGTAAGACTTGCAGAGCTTCTTCTCAAGAGCATTGCGTGGCTGTGAAACAAACGCTTTCACGGTGTTTATTTCCTTTATTGCCGGCTCCCTGGCTCCCCGGCGCGCAGCCGGGATGCGTTCCCGCCACCATCCCGCACCCAGCCTTTCCCACAGTAACACGTCATCATCATCACTAATTCTTGGTCCTGCAACAAGCCTGAACACTGTTTGACAGATCAAAGTCTCCACAGTGGTGTTACTGTCACACTTAGACCAGAATCCTTGCCTAGTTCTGTGAAAAATTTGAAATGTGAAAATATTTTCTTCAAATAGGCTTTCAGTGATTGCAGTTGATTCATTTAACTCCATGAGTAAAGCACATACTGTTATTCTATTTGTTAATGTGCATTAATGTTAAGATTGCAATAAAAATGAATGAAACTAAGTGGTTTTAAATTAGAATTCTTAGCTTACAATATCATTTACATAAGAGGGAAGAAAAAAACACAAGCAATACTTCTTTCACCTCCACCTCAAAAAAAATCAAGTAAACAACAATAATTATGTTGGAGTTGAGTATGGTGACAAGCCCGAGTTTGTGCATTCAGTTCATTGTTGTTACGCTTGTGATAGTGTTAAAAACACCACACTTTGAACAGTATTCATTATTCTTTCTCTTTTCTCTTTTTTGATTTGATTCTTTTAAGAAAGGGTCCTTTGTTTGAAAGGCCACTAGGAAAAATGTAACTCATTATTATCCCAGCCTGAAATAGGTATTTCTCTATTACTACAGTTGAGAAATACTCATTTGAGCAGGTGGAGGAAGGAAGACTATCTAAGAAGATAGCTTCATCCAATTATGATAATAATGTACAATGTTTAAATTACACGCTTCATGCATAAACTGTTTGTTATTTCATAATATTTTACCTAATTAAAGCAGCACTATACAATATGATTAAAATTGTTATAGACAATTGATTGTTCCATTCTACTTTTCTCTAATGGAATTTGCTGTTAATAATCAGGTGGAAGTTAAGAAACTTCTGGATAAGCATTCATATGGTAAAGCTACAGTTTTACTACTTCTACTGGGACGGTAGACCTTGTGTGCTCTCTCTCTCTCTCCCTCTCTTGCTTTCTCTCTCCCTCTCTCTCTCCCCCATACTGCTGAAGATCACACAGAATCCCAGAATGGCTGAGGTTGGAAGGGACCTCTAGAGATCATCTAGCCCAACCCCCCTGCTCCAGCAGATGGAAATGCGTTTTAAATTGACATTCTGAATTTTTACTGATACTTTTTTTTTTATGTTACTCAGAACAAAGAATTAACCCTCAGATTTCTCATGTGATCCCCTTAATCCTTTTTCTAGGGTGTTCTGTCACAGCCCGGTATTTATTCAGATGATTGCAACTGGGTAGGACCGTGCCCACTGGGAAATCTGTGCTTTGATGCTGGAATACTTGGCTTATCTGTTCTGTAAATAAACATTGCTCTTCTCTTGCCCTTTGTGAATAATGGTAACCTGTGTTCCCCTGAATTGAATCTGAACCTCTTCTCTCTCTTCTTATTTTTTTTTTCCCACTGACACAGGTGTTCTTAGTCATGCAGAAAAATGAAAAATGTAGATATTTGGCAGAAATTAATAGAAATCTTCAGTTCCTTGTATGTGTATTGAAATTTTAAAATACTTATAAATTGGTCTGTCTGTGCTCAGGCAGAACTCTAATGGAAAGTCATGCAAACTTCTAAGATAAGGTTAAGCCTTTGCTCTCACAGCAAAGTTCATTTTTAGAATTCAATCCATCACTTTCCAGGACTCCAGGGAAAAGTACCTTCAGTGCCTACTGTTCTGAAGTGATGGAAAATCATGTGGTGCTGATTTGGACTTTCAGTCTCCATTTGCTTTATGGAATATTATCACTGATGTGAGCCCAAACACCTTGCTGAAGATTAAAGAATCTTTTCTCCTTTTCCCTGTCTCCTGAAAAATGAAGAAAAGGAGCAGGCAATACTAAAAAACAGTGGTGGATATTAATAAATACACTTCATGATTTACTGGTTAAATTAATTTCACAATGCTTGATTATAAGAAAAACTATTTATGGAACTTTAGTCATCTTATTGACATCAATAAAGGTTCTTCAGTACAAATCCTTCGCTTACTAACAAGTAAGAAGTTAAACTCTTATGGTTTCTTATCATAAGCAATGATGAGTATTCTGCTGGCCAATTATTTATGTGTTTATATCTGAGTAATCCTTTTGCTTTCACCATGATGATACATGTTTACGTCATTGTCAGTCATGATAGAAGTCTGTTGACTTTGCGCGAAAAGAAATGGAATCTAGCTTGCTTTTACTTAGGTTCGTTGAATCATCAGGACTAACAAACACAGACATTAAATCTTAATGGTGCTGTGAAAACAAATGAGGTAGATTAAAAGTTAGTATAGAAAGCAAGTCTGTTAAGTGACAGCTGAAATAAAATAATAAACTTTCAGTAGTAATTTTATTCTAATATAAACCTTATGGAGAATTACTGAAATTTTTCTGTGTATTGAAACAAACCTTGGATTAGATGATAGCAGAGTTTGCCATGTGGC